ACAATGTACCTCGCAGGGATACGAGAAATACGTGTTGGATGAAGTGGAGGGGTGATGCCCATTTCAGTCGCTGGATGCCTGCTTAGATAATATAACACCGCGTATATCCCCTCGAGGGAGAAGAGATCTTCATCGTCTCTCTCTCGAGTGGCGGGGCTCATCCATTTGAGAGGATCATTGTCGAGGATCCGCGCGCGATTAAGATCGACGACCCTCCGGCGTGCGCGATCCATGGCGTTACCGGTCATGGATATCCATTTATCCTTTTTTCCTCCCTTTTTGTCCCCCCTCCTTCCCTCCCCCTCTTTTACGCTCTTGAGCACCGACGATATTACAGCTTCGATTCTCCGGTTAATCCAACTGTTCCATTTCCAGATAGCACAGAGAGTTGGAAAAAATTCTTTTTCGATTCCCCGACTTACGAAATAAATTCCTATTTCGTCTTATTTCTGTTATAAGTAATTCCTAAAAGTCTCAAAAAATTTCACTGTTACATCACCAAAAAAAAAGCACTTTGAGCTCTTTTTCAGGTTCAAGAGATATTCTTTCTCTAATCTTTTTTTTATTTCTTATACTGTCCTACTGCACAATCCAATGAAAGCTTTGCTTTTTTTCATATAATGATACAAAGTAGAGCTCTCATTGGGCATTGCTCGTCGCATCCAGTGTGTAATATGTAATAATCACATTTTGATTTTTATGCAAATTAAATATTACTTTTATTGAAGATAATATATACACAAATATGTATATAAATGTTTTTGTAGATATTTTTTAATTCCTTTTGAGTTTATTTCAAACAGATTACGTTATTCATAATAAACTTAAAAAGTGAATACCCTTGGAGTTTAAATAGATCAGGTATGCTATCTGGATTCTCTTGTACATTTAACACGTTCAAAGGAATGGATATCTAGATATTTTAATACAGTCTTGAATAAAGTAGGTCCGTATATCATTTCAATATGAAATATTATATTCACTCGCAAAAAATATGAGCCACTATTGATACAGTGACCATATTTTTTATGGGTGAGTTTATTTTCATAAAAATTGGTAAGGTAAACAACGGAATTAATCCGTCGTTACGCTTTTATTACTATTTTTTGTAGCGCAGTGCATTTTACAAAGTTTTTTTCATTTTAGAAATTGTCAAGCAATAAAAAGAGGTAACATCGAGCGGACCGCAAGACTGGAGATAACCACAAAAAATTAGTATTCCTTCATTCTGTATTCTTTCATTGTGTTGGTTACTCGGACTCATTTTTTCTGATTCCTGGGTACGTTTCCGAGAAGCTATAATTTTACTGCCATACGTGAGAATAGGACAAAAATGTTTCTATTATATGCAATACAAAATGAAAGAAAACTTTTGGTCAAGTCCCAAAAAGGTTAAAAAGAGAGAAAATTTCTTTTAAATTTTTCGTCTCGTAATTTTTCAATTCTTTTGTTTCTTTTATTCTTTTTAATTTAAAAGAATATATCCACAAAAGCAAAGATTATTTGTCCCTTTTTTTTCTTTTTTTTAAGTATCATAAAAGGTACGAATTATTCTTTAAAGCTCTTATTACATATGCATTTTGCAGAAGTGTCTAAGAAAATAAGGATTTTTAAAATAAGAATTTTTCAAATGTGTGTTATTAATAATATTTAAACATGTAATTATTTGCGTAAAGGCGGAAGTTGTAAAATTGTTATAAAATAAATATTTAATGCCGAGCTCGCAAGTCGTCGCTCATGTTTCCTTTCGAACGATGTTCGCATGAATATCTAAGTATGACGGAAGAGAAATTTCACGCTTGTCTCCGGATCGAGATGAGCGAATCTCCGCCCCTTGCCGCGCACTATTGGTCCAGCAGCCTCTGCCAATCGCAGCATCCTTCGGTATCCGCGAAGGGAGGAAGTGCACGCACGATGCACACGGGCGCACACGCGCGCACGTGCGTGCGTATGACATATTGTTAGCCGCGTATATAGATACGCTCGGGCAAGAAGGGCAAGGAAACATGGCTCAGATTCCTACGTCCGTCGTTTCGAGAGATTAGCTCTTCTATTTTCTACTTTCAGAGATGTATACATATGTACGTGTGCGTCTAACTAACATCCAAATCTTGTCGTAACTGTATAATTTGCAATTCTACTCGCGCAGGCTTTAGGGAATCTAAAATAAATGTAGATTTATTCTTCAGAAACTTCTTTAGATAAATTTCGAGGATCCGTAATTAAATTTGCGGTCGCATCTTGTATGTATACATATATTGTCGATTGCGAAATTTTGATTAAGTACGTATTTAAATTTTATAAGTAATATACAGATAGAAATATTTTAACTAATGATAATATATTTGCAAACCTTGATCACTATATTGATCTATTAATCTATCTACATTAATATATTAATATATCTATATTTAAATTATATTAAAAATACTAACTTCATAATTATACAAAAATTTTAAAATTCCTTCCATTTTATGTGTAAATATTACTGTTAGACGTATACACATAAAAAGAACAATTATGTTGAAATATCTAAAAATTTAACTAGATACAGATCTGAAAATAATTTTATTGGATCATCAAAATAATTACAGAGGCATCTGAAACATAATGAAGTGCTGCAAAAGATTTCGATATTTTAACAATCAATTTGAGTGTCCTACATAATTATTTTAATAGTCTAACAAAATTATTTTTAGATATATCTAGCTAAATTTTTAGATACTTCAACAAAACTGTCTTTTCCGTGCAGATATTATATAATTGCGTTTAAATTTCTGTCCTCTGTTTAAACCTCACTTTAAAACTTTATGTGTAATTATAAATTCAAAAATCTTTTTCAATTTTCTGGACATTATTTGCGTTCAAATTTCTATCTATATAAAAATCTCATTTAAAAAAATAAAATTTTGTAATTATAAATTCAAAATTCATTTTTAATTTTTTGGACATCATTAACTAAAAGGCAACGATAAATATATAAACATACTCGCGATAAAAGCTGTACGCTTCTCGCGCGTTGAGGGACGATGAAGATCAATATCGCGGACGTTTCCGCGTTGCCAGAGAAACTTGAATACTCACGCTATATACTGCAAACATCCGCGTTATGAAGCATGCAGGATGTCGAATCGAGGAAGGATACAAAGCGAGCTTTCCTGGCAACGAAGGGCGTACGAGCGTCACCGTTCTAGGGTGAGCACTCATGAATTATAAACGTCACTCTTGATTCAATTCTGTTTAATATTTTATCGGACAATGTTTCTTTCATCGGGATCTCTCTTGATGAAAGCTCTCGAGAATCTAACGAAAACCTCAGTGCTAAAGATATTTTCGTAGAGGCAATTTTCGAATAAAAAGCGATAAAATACAATCAAATAATACAATCGCGCGAGTTTATTACGTTATTTACAGAAGTTCTTTATAAAAATCGTTGTATGTCAAACGATATAATTATACGTATTACATTCGTGCAGTTTTTATGTTAAGTTTGAAATTTTTTAAGGAATTACGTTGTATATTAATCTTTAAAGAGCGGGGATTTATCTTTAAAATTTTACTGAAATCTTATTTTTAATAAGATTTATTATAGTTCATATATCAATTTATTATAGTTTATTATTTTGTAGTATTCCTTGCAAATTAGACTGTTTTAGGACTAATAAAGTGATTTTTCTGTAAAAAAAAATTTAAAACAAAGACATTCTACAGTACACAAGTCAAGAGAAAGTCAAAATGACTTTATTTTAACGCCATGAAAGTCAAAATGATGATTTTTTATTAGAAAATTTTAATATTTATTAACATTCACAATCAAAATAAAGTCGTTTTGATTTTTTATTGACTTTGTGTGCTCCTTAGGATAAAATATAAACTGTACCATCCGTGTATAAAATTGGTCGATAAAAATGAAAGAGACAGGGCGCAAAGACGGCCAAGTAGTTTCTATCTTTTTTTATTCCACAATATCTTAGAAAGAGAAGGAAATTGGCCATTTTTAGGAATTTGGCTCTCTTTTTTTTACCACAATTGATGTTCTTTGTTAGATATTGATGGCGCAGTCCATGCTCGTGTCTTTGATTTAAAAAAACAAGTTAAAAGACATATATATATCAGTGGAAATCTTCAAGATAGTTAAACTGATAGTTAAACCATTTTTTTCTCGTAATTCTACAATGTCGTTTTCTGACAATATCGCAGCATGAAACTTAAAATTTATGACTCGTCTTGTACTTCGCAGGTAAAAACAGCTAGACCGACGGTAGATGTGAACCCACCAAAGGGCAGACCTCACGTCTCGTTCAACGCGAAGAGATTGCAGCTGGAACGTGAACGGCAGGAGCGGATTCTCAAGGACAATTTCATCCTGCTGAAGAAACTCCGCGAAATCATGCACCGGAAGCGACGAGTCGCGGAAGACACTCAAAGGGTCCAATGGCAGGAATCTAGATGCGTCAGAGTTCGTTAAGGAGATCTCGACAGGATGCTTATTTGCCATTGTATTACTTGCGATTTACATTGCATATAAGCTATATTTTATGTGCAATATGAAGAGTAGCAATTCTAACGAACAATCAATCTCTAACTAATCTTTTTCTATCTTGATACAATCCTTTATCTCTGTGGATTTTTAATAAACGCTTTCAGTAATATTTCCTAAACTGCATTTTCGCTCTTTCCTACTCTCTAAATCAATAATTTGTGTACTAAACCATAAAGTTGAATTACTAACGCAGTTCTTATTACGACAATTTACACATTTTTTTATTCTTCTGGAGATAAATTATGTAATATTTTTTAAACATTTTGCAATATAAAATTTAATTAATTTCATTTGTATTGTGCATTGATACTATATTTCGTTTAATTGATTTAATTGATATTTTAATCGCCATTTACTTTGTTAAACTGAATTAAGCTATAAAAGTGATATTATTAAAAATCACGTTGACATCAATTTGTCTTTTGTTTTGACATTCTAATCGATATATGAATTATTTGATATATCGTCATTAATGCATCAAGGATAGAGGTTAGAGTTTTGCAAATAATATTGTATTCTTTTTCAATGGTAAAGTAAGCGTTTCTTGCATTAATATATATTATAGATTTACATATATATTTTTAGTTATTCGAAAATTTTATACTCGTTAGAATACATACGGATAAATCTTCTGCCAGTTTAATAATCTTCATAATATTGAATTCTTTATTAATTATATTTTGAATATATGCGTATATGTATCGAATATACCAATGAAGAAATGTTATTCTATGAAACTTTTGAGAGTAAAATCTCTTAAAGGTGGAAAATTGTTTCTTTTTAAAGACTGACTCAATTTTCACTCTTCAGAATAAGATTCCATTCCAAAGAATTTAAAGAGTTATAGATTTCTATTATAATGCTACAAATGCAAATAACTCCAATAAATCTAATATATCATTATTATATAAAGTCATTATTATGTGTGCATTCTTATTTCTCAATTTGATTAAGAACAAATGGAAGACGAAAGTTACGATGAGGAGGAAGCCGAAGAGAAACTTACTGAAGAAGAGGAAGTCGAAGAGAAGCTTGCTGAAGAAAAAGATTACGATGAAGAGGCCCAACCTGAATACGAATCAACGATTTCGTCGGATGAGGTCGAGCGTGATACACGCGTGTTGACATACGCTGAGGCCGGCGAGTGCCTTCACAATTTAGGAAAATGTATCACGCAGTACGAGTACGCCTATCTCAGCCTGGACGCCTCGAATCGAGGCCTTACGGATATCAACGTGATAGCATTCTTCAAACACGTTCGTTATGTGAACGTATCGAGGAACAGATTGACATCAGAAGCACTACGTGTACTTGAGGCGATACCATATCTGCAGACACTGCAAGCGGATCGAAATTGTGTGACTAGTGTGGAATTAAAGCCAATGCCCTATCTACAGGTGACCCCATCACCCTTTGATTCTCATTCAAATGGGATTTAAATTCATCGAGAAATCCTACACGTAACAAATACAAATTAGTAATGCCCATTTCTATCAATGTAATTTAATTGTAATCACAGTTCAACTCTTCATCTTTTTCTGATATTCTTATTATTAGAGAGAATTATACAGAAAAAAAGACTGTTTATTATTAGAATTATACAAAAAAAAAACTATTCTTAAATCAACCATAATATATTTATATGTATATAAACAAAATATTGTAATTTTGATTTGATTGAGTTTGTATTGATGCAAGATTTCTGATTGAGCAAGTCTTGAATTGAGTGCAATGTAATACTTGCATCAACACAAATTCAATCAAATGTAGACTAAAATCTTTGAAACAAAATTACAATATTTTTGTTTATATACAAGCATATTATGGTTGATTTAAGAATAGTTTTTTTTTTCTGTGATAGGAGAAAGGATAAAAGATAAGTTAAATAGAGATTAAATAATACTTATTAATTAAAATTAACTTTGGAGATATTATTGTCTGAATTTTATTATATTGCAAGTCTGAGAAAGTAATCGACGCATAGTCACATATCTCAGATTTATTTAAAATACATATAGATTTATTATTTCAACATCTAGCTGACTTTGATCGTAATAGACGTTTCTCTTAAGCGACGATATATGTTTTTTTGCTGGATTACTTGCGTTTTAGTAAATTACTATATAGAAATTCTGCATTCTGTGTGATACAATTGTAATAATTTATTAAAACGCAAGCAATCCAGCAGAAAAAAAAACATCGTATGCTGCAGGTTTTACTTAGTTGTTATGGAAAGAGATTAAATATTTTCAGAAATTAATTATTATCATTAAAGTTAATTTACATTAATTTTATAATTGGACATAAGACGGTTTAAAAAATGTAGGAGCTCACTTTAAACTGGAATAAGCTAACAGATACATCTGGTATCCATCATAAATCGCTCGAGCGCTTGGAGTTGAACCATAACAATATTCGTACAGTGAATGTGGATCCTCAAATCCTTGTAAACTTGAGGATTTTGGAGCTACGCGACAATGCCCTCGTCAGTACTGCAGGTGAGACGCGCCATTACAAAAACGAGACCATATTACACAGACCTGCATAGTTTTGTTGATTGTGATTTAATGTTTTCTTGTGTAATTTTTTGCGCTGAATCCGAATCCGGCTGCAGAATTGCTCTATCACGTCAAGATTTCGAGATATCTTACGACGTCGTTTCGACGATCTTTTCGAGAAACTGTTTCTGACTGGGAACTTAGTTTCTAAGGCAAAGTGGATGACGTCCTGGCCAGTGAAAACAATTAGACGAATGATCCCCCGGCCAGCTGTTTTTACAATGATTTATGAAATCTGGCTATTGTTGGAGTTTGAAATGTGATGAGAAGAACGTATCATACAAACGACGTTCTAATTCACGTAGTTTTGATGAAAAAAGAAAAAGAGTTCATAAATCATTGTAAAAGTAATTTAACTGGCCGGGAAATCATTCATGTTGCCTTCACTGGCCGGGGAGTCACTCACTGATCGTAAAAAACACACTACAAAACAACACATTATACATAACACATTACAAAAAACACTACACAAAAAGGACGATTTTGCTGAAGTATCTAAAAATTTTGCTAAATATATAAACCTGAAAATAATTTTGTTAAATTTTCAAAATAATTATGTGGGACGCTCAAACTGCAATGGTTGCTAGAATTAAAATTTTTTTACAGCATTGCTTATCATACTTATGTTCTTAATTATTTTGATAGTCCAACAAAATTATTTGCAGATCTGTATCTAGCTAAATTAGATACTTCAGTAAAATTGTTCTTTCTGTTTGGGACAAAAATGCCAAATATCTTAAACGGTTAAAAAAGGAGGATCCTAGAAGCTAAGAACTCCGACTTCCCTCCCAGTGAAAAATGACTCATTAAATTGATGTCAAATCGACATCGATACAATGATTTCAAAGTCAATACAATGTTAATTCAATGTCTAATTGATGGTCATTTCTCGTTGGACTCTGAATAATGTTCAAATTCCTTACTTCTTGAAGGAATCTGCTGTCCCAGTCTAACGCAGCTCTATCTGGCCGAGAATCAAATCGAGAAGATCGAAAATTTCGGAGTCCTTGTGAACCTGACGACGTTAATCTTGCGAGATAACAAACTCGCAAATCTAGATGGTTTCACTGAGCAATGTCGTAGTTTGAACTATGTGAATCTGCGCAGCAATGAGCTTGCGAAGATTTCAGAGCTAAAAAAGCTAGATTGTTTACCAAATCTGGAAATACTTGTCGTCCTGGGGAATCCTCTTTTGAGGGAAGAGGAAGAAGACAAGGAATATAGACAAATTATTCTGACAATGCTTCCAAAATTGGAGAGGATCGATAAGGATCTTGTGCTAGATCAAGAAAGGGACCAGGCGAAGGAGTTGCTTAAAAAAATACAAAAGAACGAATTTAAATTGGAAGATTTCGATTTGAGAGATTAAAGATTATACGCGTTGAAACAGAGAGATCAGTATTTGATCGTACACCTTCATTAAAACATAATTTCATGTCTTGATTCTAAAAAAAGTCTTTTCTTTAATTAATTATCGTCACTGTTATATGTTCGAAATTTCTTATTAATAGTTATTTATTTAAAAAAATCTCAATTAATTGTCCCTCCTACTTTCATATTATTAATTTAAATTATAATTGTAAATTGTATTAAGTATTGTCTTCACAAGTTTTAGTATAGATAGTTAATATAAATAAAATAACTAATTTTTTATTAATTTAACGAAAATTTTATCGAAAATAAGTCATATTAATATTATTAATTTAACTCAAAGTGTTTTCATCAGTAAAACTCGATTTAACGAACATTTTAACGAATTTTAAAAACATTGAAACTTTTTTGGAATAAAACTACTGATAATCTACACTATCTACAGTTTGAAAAATATTCAATATTTCTGATACATACACTTTACAATCCATAATTCTACCAACTCGCGCCATCTTGTGACGACAATATATAATATCGACACATTTTCGAAGTTCAGCCTGACTTATCGATCCTATTTAAATTACATTGAGTCAATAAATGGACCGATAAATCAGATTGCTACTATAATTCAGTGAATAAATGCACTATATCGTTTATGACTTATGTAATTCATATATTATTTTTTACATAATGATGATAATTATTATTATACAACAATAATTATTATATAATATAATACCAAAATTAATTACATTAAATTATTTATTTAATTAATTAATAATAAATATTAAAACGACTGCAAAGAAAGCAGCTTTGAAATTTTTGTTCTTTATTTTTTAATCTATGATTGATTTATTGGTTTATAGATTTAAATCCAGTAGAGTTTTAGAATAAGACTTGCAATTATATTAAAGAATTTTACAATTGTAGATCTGCTTTTTCTGCACATAGCCAATCGTTCAGGATTAATTGTGATTTCATGATTACGCGCATTCGCGATTTTCTAGACTGCCTATTTATCATAATTTATTCCAATAAGTTATCCCATAAAACAAATGATCAATGATGCCCCAAAATATCTCATATCATTACTTATCCATTCTATAATACGTAACGACTGAATAAAATCAGAATAATCAACTATTTTCAATTACCCATTTCTATTCAAACATGACTGCTCGATCCGAAAATCTCGTCCAAAGCACCGACGAGATACTATTAAAGACTGTCAACCCTGGGTAAATTTTCGACGGTATAAAAAGGGCCCGGAGATAATTGAAGAACGCTGACATTATCGACAATGATATAAATTTGCTATTATTAACATAAATATTTGGTTTATATATTATTAAATTTTCATGATTTTTTTATTACATAAATGTTCCGTAAATAAATATGTATACTTGTAAAGCTATAATATTCTATATATTGCAGAAAAATTACAATTTTTTCTCTGCAGTTATCATCTCTGTTGATAATCAAACTTTGATGATAGCACTGAAATCATAATTTTAAAGAAAAATCGAATGTTACTGAAGTCTAAATATGTCCACTAAACTAATAAATCATAAAATTAGTACAATATTATCAGTTTTTAACTCTTAATTACTTCAATATTCACAAAAACGCGAATTCCCATAAGAATGTCCCGTAAGAATGTCGGTCTTTAATGGTATCTCGTCCAAAGTGATCGCTGCGAACGTAATCGCGATGAAATCGCGAATACGAAACGAAGAATGGCGAAACATATCCAGCGCTAATACTAATATCGACATCGTTCGTCGAGCAACAATAATAAATGCATAACTGTACCTCTCGACGGCAATTTCCTCCTCATTTCCGGACCTGGCAAACTCGCGCATTTTCACAAATAACGCGCGCGACAAGAACTGACGGTGAACGGTGACGGTATTTGAGCGTGATGTCGCGCCAGCGATAATCGAATCTCGAAAAATCACGTGATCCGAAACAATCTCGCGTCTCGGCCACCTTCGGCCACTTCGGCGCAACGTTCTCGCGCCTCGCGGTGGTGGTACCGGCACATCGTTTCATAGGTTATCGGATCGAACATTCGCAGTTCGCAGTTTTGCACTCCCATTTGCCTTTCACACACCGATCCGAGCACAACCCACTGAAACATCATGTCCGGCAAGCCCCCGTATAAAATCGGTAAGTGCCAAATGTCACGAACAATTGAATCACGGCGTATTTTTGAAATAAAGCGAACGCGGAGTGCACGTGCTCGCATCCGTTATGGAGCAACGTGAAGTACTCGCCGCTTCGATCGCAATCTGTAATGACACGAGCGAGCGCGCGAAATTATTTTTAATATTGTGTTCGATATTAAATTATTAGTTACGCAACGTGTTGAGGATGATGATAATGTTATGAATTATATATGCCTGTTAAAAATATTAAAACTTTAAACTTTAGCTTTTAGCCTTCGGATAATCTTCAGTTTACTAATCGATGTTTCTCGTTAAAATATTAATGACAGTGACGTAATGGAGTATAAAATATTTTCAGAACGTTAATAGTACTAACAACTAAATGAGATTACACTCAACGTTGTTAATTTTTATAACGATGATGTAAAGTACAAAAATAACTATTTCATAATGTTGTGAGTAGTAATATATGTGCTCTGCATATTTTGCAATATATGATTAAACATTACAAATACGTATCTTGTAACAATGTATTTTTCTTTTTAATAATTCTTATCTTTACTTTTTGATAATTAAGTAACTGGAAAAAATATAAGCTTATATTTAACACAGGATATGTATTATTAGTATATTGTTATATATAATATTAAATTATTAATATATAAAATATTTGTTATTATATACATATAATATTACATATAAATATATATTGAAATCTTATAAAATGTATATATATGTACATCATTTTATAAGATGTCAATGTATGTATAATATTGTATGTATATAATTAATTTACAGTGTCCGCCAAAAGTTCCGGGTCACCTGAATAATTTTTGAATGATTCGAGATATAGGACTGAAATTTACAGGGATACAACGAGATCGTAAAATCTATCATTGAACCTCAAAAACATCCACCTTAAGGGCCTGAAAATTCTTAATGGTATGTGAAATCGAGTGAAGGCTCGTTGAAAGCCCTTTGAAAGGGCTTTTCGAAACGAGAATAACGTGAACTGACCGAAGTCTAAGATTTTTTTTCGCAGAGTTATGATCATTTGAACATTGTTATTTAGAAAAAAGAGTTACATCTCTTGTGTCTCTCGGCTCGGTATTACGTAAACAATTTTTTCATATCATATGTCGGCCAGTATGATATGAAAACAGTAATGTTCCCTCAAAGTTAATGTTTCCTCAGAGAGCGATACATTGCCTTATCTCCTTTATTTACTTTAGTAATTTTCATTCTAATACATTTCTATTGTCAGAAAATGCTTTTGACCGATTCGGAAAAGGTGAGCTCCATACACACACATATCTGAATAACAATGTTCAAATTATCATAACTCTGCGAAAAAAAATCATAGAGACCTCGGTCAGTCCGCGTTGTTCTCGTCTCGAAAAGCCTTTCAAACGAGCCTTCATTCGACGCTACATGCCATTGAAGATTTACAGGTCCCATTAAGATGTGTGTTTTTGAAGTTTAACGACAGATTTTACGATCTCGTTGTATTACTGTAAATTTCAATTCTATATCTCGAATCATTCAGAAATTATTCAGATGACCCGGGACTTTTGGCGAGCAC